ATCTACTGAGTTACTAGACTAATGTCCACTAACTTCTTGTCGTGCTGTCACTAATTTTTCAGTTTACAGAAGAAACAAGATTTTTGTAGAATGTGGTTGTTGCTTGGTAAAGTGGACGTAGCTATTTAGTTGGGAATGTACAGCAATTAGAGCGCTTTTTATTATTTCCAAACTAGGGTAAGGTCTCCTGATCTAAAACTTCAGTAACCCAGCTCTTATTCTTGGAAAGAGACAAATATATACAGCATGCATTACTGGATTGGTTAATGTATAACTGCATGACGATGATTAAGGAGTGTGCGCACACCGTATTAATATTCTATAATCGGAGGAACCCTACACATATTGTCTGTAACCTAAGGTATAGATATAGATAGGTTTGTTTAGTAGGCTTTATCTGGATGCTAAGTATCATTGCGTACACTGCAAAGAGGCATATATCAAGAGGGCCGAAATAGTTTAATCTTACAGTGGTTCCATAAAAGGACAAACATGTATTTTCCTATTGTATAGTGATTAGTATAGGTTTGAGACATTCACATGCACATTTGAAAATTGAAATTCTGCACTATCGGTGAGGTAAAAATATGTAGTAGAATAAAGTGAAGAAAAGGGCATAAACAAAGAGAGTCTGATAATGACATTTGTGTTGCTAAAAGCACATTTTTTTTTTCCCCCCCCTGTAGTTCAGTAGTGAAGATGTGTAACAAAAACTGAATTGTGTTTTTACCATTGTCTGCTTTTGGGCTACGTTCTTCTTAGCTAATGTGCTGGTGAACAGGCTAGTGACATTGATTCATTTTTGCATTGACTGTTGCAATCGGCGTTTCAGGAGAATGGCTAGAAAATGTAAAGATTTTCATAACTACTTAAAGGGATCCTATAGTGCCAGGAAACCAATCCTGTTTTCCTGGCACTATAGGCTCCCGGGGTGCCCTCCTCCCTCTTGCTGCGCCCCCGTTAATCAATGCTTTCCTATGGGGAAAATCTGACGCTGGAAGTCCCTGAGGACATTGCAGCGCTAACTGCAAAAGGGTCACAGCACCCAGACTACTTCAATTAGCTGAAGTGGTCTGGGTGCCTACAGTGTCCCTTTAACTAAAGACATAGTTCCCATCCTCACATTTCAATCACTTGACATATCTGTCTATGCTGAGGGCACAGGACTTTGACTTATATGTGGCTCTCTTTCACAGCAGCTACAGTGTATGCAATGCAGTTGCTATGATTATTATTTTGAATACACTGACATGGTTATCACTTATCTCTTTATCAGCACTATTCATGGGCGAATCGATCAAGTAAACCAGCTCCTGGAATTGGATCATCAGAAGCGAGGTGGAGCCCGGTACACCGCTCTAGATAAATGGACCAACCAACTGAATTCTCTCAACCAGGCTGTAGTCAGCAAGCTTGCTTAACAGAGATCGAGCATTTACAAATTAGACACAAAAGTACTTAAAGCAACAGTGCAGTGATGTAACTTTTAAAAAGAACTGGGAATGGCATTGCTACTTGTTGGAGTGCCCCAAAAAAAAAGGTTTTGGCAGAACCGCTTTCTGATCAGCTGGTTTTTGTTTCGCTGCTGCATACATCCCAAGAAAAAAATAAATAAACAGCTTTAACTTCCAGATGATAACCAAAATGTTATGGGATACATGCTGTGTCATCAGGCCCTGTACATGAGACATCCTAGTAAATTTGCCAGGGGCAAATAGTGACCTGAGAGGTTTATTTTTTTTTTTTGTCCTGATTTTAAATATACACTGACATGTTACTGTTGGATTCATTTAAACCTGTTTTACCTGCAGAAAATGTCTAACGAATTAACCTGCAATAACTTGAAAAGCGTATCCTTTTGAACACTTTCTTTTCTCATATATGAACTGATACATTTGCTGCATTTTGCAAAATGCCCAACCCCTCCTCATGAAAATGTGTCCATATAAATCTATATATATAAATCTATATATTTCTGTACCTGCAGTGTAGTAAACATTTAGGATACAGCCCGTACTTGGTGGCAAATACTGTCACTTAGATTTCAAGCAGCAAAATAAACAGTGCAGCTCAGACATTACAGCTTGCTTTCCTGTGTGTGTTTTTGCATTGGAAATGGATATTTAATAGTGGTTCTAGTTGGCAATTGGCTCAATTTCTGGCAATAATGACATTTAAAAAAAACAAAGTTATTTTCTTTTGTTTTAGTTAGGTTATCAGATCTTTCGTAGTCATAATACTTGGATGTTATTCGCTAGTTTGGGAATTATAGAGAATTGGCAGAGGCAATACCAGGCCTCCATATCTTTGAAAGCTGCAGTGAATTATTTGGGGGTATTTACTTTTTCATCAGATGTGTATATGTAACACCACTGTAAGGCAGATCCTTGGAGCATGCTGCACCCTAACTCAAAATAGGACACCACTGTTAGTAAGGCTTGTTGCTATGCTTGTCCTTTCCTCTGTTATTGGAAAGGAATATGCTCAAAGATCTTTAGCACCATACAATCACCTTGATGGACATGAAATCACCATACATTTGGTTTTATAGTAAATATTTTGGAACTAAATGTCCACGTGGACTTGATATTCTCTACTACAAATGGTGGGATAAAAATTGAAAAATAGACACCAACGACCCTTCTCTTCATCAAGCATAAGATTAAATGAGAAGTCTGCATTGCTGTTTGCCGAATGTATTTTTTTATTATTATTATTCACTCTGGGAGATGCAGCTGCTTTGATTTGCATTTGTGTGATACTAGCATACATATGGTTTTTGTTTACCATAACGGGGGTTCCATTTTGGCTCCCATTGCTAACTGGTACAGATGAACAGGATGTCATTACACTGCATATTCCAAATAAAGGGTTGTCGATGTCTATTTTTGGTTAATGTACAGTCTTATTTTTACTTAGATTTTTTTTTTTTTTTTCAATTAATTTTAGTGTGTTCACTGTATATTCATTAAAGCATAGAGTGCATTTATTTTGTAATCCTAAAATAAACTATTGAAATTATGTTTAATCCAACTACATCATAGAATACCCATTATCTGTACTCATTGGAAAATTATGTTTATTTAATGTACTGGGCATTGTTAGAATACTTATTCAATTAAAATCTGTTTTAAAATATTCACAAATAACAATCAGAACCCAGAGGAAATGAACTCAATGTGAGCATTACGTCTTATACGGATATAAAGAAATCAAATGCTAGTTTAGCCATAATAGACAGACTCTGACCGCATAGGCAGTTCAGCATTTCCTACATTTTAAATCTTTAAAGGGCGCTCCAGAATGCATTAAGTGCAATTTGGCGATAACATTTAAGGTGCAATGTTAATGTTTTATACTAATCTGAAATTAATGCTCTTAACGTTAAATATATTTTATATTGTCAAATCGCACGGCATCTGTGAGGACATAGGGCGCATACGTGGCAATTATTGCATTCTGATGGAGAAGCACTGAATTAAATACGGCATTTAGCAGCATCCTGCTAAGTGATGATGGTAAATGTAAAGGCCTTTGAAAGTCTTAATGGCGTAAAAAACTGACTTTCCAAGTGTATGCAATAAAACTACTGAAATAGTTATGGTGTTTAGAGTGTGCTTTTAAAGAAACTCCCTAACATCAGCAAGAGACACATTTAAAAATTGTTTATATTATCCCCCCCTTCAGTTATTCAAAAAGCTTGTTACTATTAATCCAGTGTGAGTGGATCTCTTCACAGTAGCACCTTTCCAGGAGATGGGACAGCCCAGCCAATGCATTGCTTCTTTAGAGAGAAGAATTGGAAGGCAGGGTGCATGTATGGCAATACTTCTCATAGAGTGATTCAATGCTTATCTAGATTAGACGCCCTCACTTGTGTGTGGAGTACTTGAATGAGGACAGAAACCAAGGTGAGCATTATAAAATTGACCATTTGTATTGCAATCTAGACTTTTAATGAATAGGACAATGAGTACAGCTAGTTAACACCTAAAGCATTTCAGCAAGCTCTTTCAACCGTCGGTGTTTACGGACTGTAAGACAAACATCTTCTGTGTTTAGACCTCAAGATCACAAAGAGGTTTTTAAGAGATCACGGTTGGCTTTTAAACCTACAAAAATCTCAGATGATTCCTTCAACACAGATGAAATTCCTGGGACTTCTGGTGGATTCAAGGTCCCTATCTTTTTCTTCCTATGTCAAAGCAAAAAAGAATTATAAAGGCAGTTTCAAGCTTGCAAAAAAAAAATGTTTGCACCATCAGACAGGCCATGAGTGTCCTGGGACTTCTCACCTCTGCGATCCCAGCAGTTGGATGGGTAAAAACAGAAATCAGATCTTTACAATGGAACATTCTTGATGAATGGCCAAGAAGAAATTAAGATTTGGTTGCAGTTATCTGCCTGTCAAGCACAGTAAGAAAACAACTAAATTGGTGTAAAGAGGCAAACAACCTTTCCAGAGGCCTTTCATTCAAACAGAAGAGCTGGATTGACATCACAACAGATGTTTCCCAAACTGGTTGAGGCGCCCATGTAGATTTACAGTTCATTCAGGGGAAATGGACTTTCAAAGAAGCAAGAGTCCTCAAACTTCAGAGAGCTGAAGGCAGTTATGAATGCTCTGGTAGCTTTCAGTCCTGCCATTGCAGACCAAGCCGTAAGGATTCAGTCCGACAACATCACCACGGTTGCTTACTAAAACCGTCAAGGAGGCACAAAAGTAAAATCTCTTCAGGATCTATGCTACCATATCATGTTTTGGGCACAGTCAAACGTAAACTCACTTTCAGCAACTCATATCAGAGGTTATCAGAACGTCATCGTAGATGACCTCAGCAGACAACGTTGGTCTCAAGCAGTTTGGTCTCTAAAACCCCAGATGTTCTCGAAATTGGTATTCCGATTTGGCTTACCAGACATCGATCTAATGGCCATAAGAAAAAAAAAGAAAAGTGCCATGCTTTGCTTCTATCCAGGGTTTTCCAGACTTCCTAGACAGCTTGTTCCTCACCTGGAACTTCCACATGGGATATGTTTTCCCTCTGGAAGCCTTGATACCAAAGATAATTCAAAAGATCAGATGGGACAAAGCAAGGGTTCTAGCCGTTGTTCCCTTCTGGCCAAACCAAAGCTGGTTTTCAGAAATAGTGTATGACAATTTCAGGCTGGGTTCTTCCACTTTCAGACAACTTCATAGAGAATGTGGATCTTCTAGAAGAGACCCTGAAAATGTTCAAACTGACGGCATGGTTGCTGCAAGGATGATCCTCCGTGAGCAAGGGCTTTCAGACAGTTTGAGTGAGGTTATTCTGGAATCTATTGGTTTATCACCGTCCAAGATTTATCTTCAGATTTGTATAAAGTTCCTGAACTGGAGTGTTCTGAAAGGCTGCTGTCCAGATGATCCCTCTATCCCTGATATTCTGTCTTTCCTGCAGGATTGGTTTCTAGCTGGTCTAGGTGTATCAACACTTAAAGTCCAGATTTTAGCATTGAGTCACTTCCTTGTTAGGGATCTAGTTTCCAACCTTCTTATCCGCAGATATTTTAAATTAATCTTGCTGAAACAACCTCCTAAGCTTTCAACTTTTCCTTGCTGGGATTTGTCGTTAGTCCTTCAGGCTTTTTGTGAACCTCCATTTGAACCATTACAGGATGTTTCCTTGAAGATGCTTTCACTCAAGATGGTCTTCTTAGTGGCTATCACTTCTGCAAAGAGAGTAGGAGAACTACAGGCTCTTTCTTCAGCTTCTGAGTTTACCATTTTCCACCAAGACAAAGTGGTCTTGCATACCAGGCCTTCCTTTTAATCAAAAGTTATTTCAAGGAAATCTGTGGGCCAGCCTATTGTTTTGCCTTCCTTCTGACAGTCTCAATCTCCAGAGATTTAAAGAAAGTGGCATCTTCTAGATGTTAAAAAAATCTATCTTCGGAGATCACAGGACTTTAGAACCTCAGATCACCTCTTTGTCACATTTCAAGGTTCTTGTAAAGGTAGAGAAGCCTCCAGACCTACAATCGCCAGGTGGCCAACAGAAGCTATTAACATGGCTTGTGAAACACGTGGTGTTGCCCTCAATTTTCCATTTAAAAGCACACTCCACGAGGGCGATGGCTACCTCTTGGGCAGAAAGATTTGCAGCTTCTCCAGAAGACATCTGTAAGGCGGCTACTTGGTCTTCATTCCATACCTTCATAAAGCATTACGGGCTGGACATATACTCTTCCTCTGAAGCTGCTTTTGGGCAAAAGGTACTTCAATCAGTAGCCTACTGAAATTCCCAACCTATTTTGTTGCAGGGATCTTGCTATATCCCACTTGTTTGCAGTACTACCAAGTACTACCACTATACTTGAGGAAATAATTTACCTACTGTAAATTCCTTTTTCCTTAGTTTAGTGGCAGTACTGCTGTTTCCCTCCTCCTTTTATTTTATTTTTTTTTATTATTTATTTTTTTGTATGGATTAAATTATATAGCAGTTTCAATGATCTCAAGCAGGATCTCAATTAAATATTTAAATTTTGGGGGAACATCTTGTCTACAGCAGAAGGTACAACCCACTTGTTTGTAGTACTGCCAATACATTAAGGAAAAAGGCATTTACGGTAAGTAAAATTACTGTTTTTTTGTTTTTTTTAAACTATTTGACTATCTACTTGGGATTTACCCTGGCGCTGATCCCGCCTCCACTCCACTTCTGTTAGCTCTCCTGAGCTAAGCCCTTCAGATTGCTCTGTTTTCAAAGTTTATATATATATTTTTTCCCCACCAGATTACAGCACTGCCTGTATATTGTTTTTTTTGTTTGTTTTTTTATCTGTTTGGTAGTTTTTAAATGGTAGTAACTTGCAGTAAAACTTTAAAGAAGTAAAGCAGAAGTGGATTTTATTTATTTATTTTTTTCTATGTTTATTTTGTTTCTGAAACTTAGCAATAGTTAGCTAATGGAGCTCTAGCATAGTTTTAGACTCCTATTTTGCACACTATTTAACCTAAATGTAAAAATAAACACAACATTGTAAAAGAAGCAAGAAATGGACACATTGTCTCGAAAACAATGCACTTATTTGTAGGTCTTGTCAGCATTAACGATGGGGAGGAAAGTGGGAAAATTAAAATGTGGCCGCAATACTATTTCTAAGTGCAGGTCATGGAATTAGTATCTGAATGCACAAAGCATGCAGAATGACATGGTGGGCGTCTCTTAACCAGTTCACAATCACAAGAGCACACATGATACATTTACATTTCCAATAGCAAGTACTCTTGTCACAAACTAGAAACTGAAAAGAAGTGCAAACAATGACTTATTACTGCTAAACAGTGTTTCAAAGATGGCTTTGTCATGTAATTGCTGACAAGGTTAGATTTATCAATCCAATCATGGCTCTTCGCAATGCCTTTTTTTTTTCCAAGTGCTGAATATTTCACTTTATTGCAAAAATAATGCATTTTTCCTGGCGCAAATAGATCATGATCACACTTTACTTTATGGCCCTTCAGATAATTATTTGTTGTGCTTCTGCATGGAGGTTTGTATCAGTAACTTGTATTTCTTGTGGGCACTTTGGACATAATTTTGCTTTGCAATTTTAAGGAACATTATAGCATTAAGAAAAACAATACCATATTCCCAACACTAGAGTGTGTCCCCAACCCACACACACACATTAAACACTTCACCTTAATGAGACATCACTCCAATGGAAGCCTGAATGTGCGGCGAACATTGCGTGCATTAGAACTTGATCATGGGAAATCATTGAATCGGTGCTTTCCTATGAAGATTTTGAAGACGCAGGGCATCCTCATACAATTAAACTCTGTGTGAAAATCCAGGAAGTGTCTCTATTGGCTGTCTGGAAGGTGGCCATTAGAGGATGTCTTAACCCTACACTGTAAACATTGCAATTTCTCAGAAACTGCAATGATTCACTTTCAGGGTTAAGGGGCACTGTACCCAGACCACTTCAATGAGTTGAAGTGTTATGGGTGCATATACATTCCTTTTAAGGACTTTATTCTTTTTTGAATAAATTTATATTGAATTTTCAGCTAGAAAAATATATTGATCTAAGTAACTTTTAATGTGACTGACTTTGCGCATGATTTTTAATCACTTCCTTAATAGCCAAGAAAACTGATTTATGAACGGACTTTAAAAAAAAAAACTTCTATTTTAAATTAAATCATGCCGCTTATATCTGCCACACACAAACTGTTTTCAATGACACATTAAAGGTTTGAGAAACTTGTTTATTTCTTTTTTTTATATACTTTTTTAAATTTTCTGTTTAAAAACTGTGATTTCGTATCGTAGAGCTGGCAGCAAGACTTGTGTCCTACAGAATGTCAGAGCGCAGAGGTTATGTTTTGTGTAGAATTCTGAACAAGCTCAAGTGCATTCCTCCAAAAACGCTTTCTGTCATAGTTTACAAAGACCCTGTTGTTTTGATATTGAAAACAATGGGCTATAGATTTAACATTCTACCAGTTCTCCCACTGGTTGTGACTTTTACTGAACTTTGTCAAGATAAGATGTAAGTGTTTGCATTAGATTGTTTCTTTGTATAGTTTCCTTACACTCCAGCTTCACTAAATACCATAACCACTAACCCTCAAATTAATAATATATAAATTTTTTGGTTTGAGTATTTTTTTTATAAAATGTGGATGGACACTGAAATAATGTGGAGGATATATGTTTGTATTATCTGTACAAATCATTCCGAGTTTGAATAGCAGTAATGACTGGGTGCTAAGGCTTGCTTCCTGGTCTTCCAGTAATGGGGTAAACTGTTTAGCAACTATTTGCCCCCTTACTTGGGTCCCTGTCTGGCTCCGATGGTCCAGTGATGTGCTTCCAGCTTCTGCACCGGCCGTGGCCATTGCAGTTTATTAGCTGACCACCTTGTCAGTGACTGACATTCTATAGAATGAAAGTTGCACAGAATTGTCATTAGGCATCCCAAAAGAGCTCTTGGCTGACTAATGACATCCCAATGACACTGGTGCAGTTACACCTCTTGCAGCGTTTCATAGCAGAGACTCCAGCACCATGACCACTTCAAATCACCATAGTTGCCATGGTGCATGGAGTAACACTTTAGTTAGCACTCCTTTTGCAAACGGTGGATGCCAAAGACATTTTACACCATACTTCAATAAGCTACCCCTTTAATTATGAGGCAAGGTAATCTGAATAATCAATACAATGATTAATTGGGTTAACTTAACTTTGCCTTAGCCATACCTATTCATACCAGTAATTGGTACTGTGTTAGGCTAATGCTCTCAGTGTATCAATGCCACCCATTGCTGCTCGTCGTACTGAATAAGGATCATCCTTTCATTGAGTAGGGCCCTCCACCTCTCTGTTCCTGTACGTCGAGCTGTCTGGTTACAATTAAATGTCTGTTAGTCCACCCTTTGTACAGCGCTACGGAATCTAATGGCGTTATATAAATAATAAAATAATAATAATCCTGAGCAGTAGATAAGGCCCAGGTTGCAGGCATTCAGTGATCTACTGAAAACACTAAATTGCGGGATAGGGACAGAAGACTCCATGTAATTCACACTAGTCCGTTCTATTCTGTTGTAGCTTGAGGTCAATTCTATACTGAAGATATGTAATAAATTATTTTGAGTTCTTTTTTAAACAGACTTGTTGAGTGATGCAGAGACACAGTTGTGGACTTGGTAACAATATTGGGCTTTAGTGTATGGAATCCATTTTACAACTGAGATTAAAAAAAACAACTTTACTTTAGGACACAGAGAGGAGGAAGAGAACACGACTGGCATAAGTATCACACTAATGAAAGTGTCACTCTAAGCAACGTTACATCTCTGCTTATTCTACGTACCCACTTGCAATTCGCTGGCTATTATATGTTGCTGATCTTGATGTTAGATTTGTTAATGGGTTTTAATATATATCACTCTGTTTTTTTGATATGTCCAGTATTGAGTAAATGATCATCTCCTGTTTTCAAATGAAAGCTGGTGCTATCATTGCCCATATAAAAGATTCATTAATTAGGCTTAAAGGGACCACTGAAGTCTAAGTGGTGTAGACTATTTGAGAGCAACTGCATAGTTACAGTTTTGACAAAGTATTGTGCTATGAGAAACAAGTTAATGCAGATCCACTATTCCTAAAATGCTCAATCTTGAGAAGTAGACTATTCATTGAACTAGATTTTTGTTTTTAAACCTTTTGAATAATTCCTAATCATACTTTGAATCCT